TCTAGACCTGCAAAATACCTACCTTGCTTAAGACTCTTGACTCAGACCTCCCAAGTAGTTTGAAGAGGGCCAGAAAATGGTCATTGGGAGTAGTTCTGAGCCGGTCCGTGCGTGCGGTCCTGAACTTGGCCACGACGCCACGGTGCTCCAGAGCTTCGAACCTCGAAGCATTGCTCCGCGGGACCGAGTAGTAAGGCCCAGCGATAGGGGGTTATCCTGATCACATTGAAAAGAGAAAATAGATAGAAGCAAGGTCTAAAGGTGTAAAAAACACAAGTAGTACAGCACTAAGGCTTCACTAGTTGTTGTCCGTTTCGACAAAGAAAACACGTGTGGGAGACAACTCATTGGATGTCTCTAACGAGTTTTCTGAAAAGAGGCACTTTTTGGTCATCCAACTCCATAGATCACATCACATGGACATGGATGCTTCTTGGGGACTTGGGAGATGAACATCCAACTACAACGACCATCGTTTGTGGCGGCTCCAACTATCTTCGGACCCTCCAAACACTTCGCTCGCGTCGGTATTTCCGCTCGCGTCGTTTTCCAAAAGACCCGCGCACCACTGGCCGCGCACGCCGCTCTGTCCGATGAGTCTAGAGACCCCCAAGAACAAAGACCTCCGAGGGGCTCGTGCTTCAGTAGCTCCTTTTCCTTGGGCTCCAAGTGGGCCACACTTGTCTCCATGAGTTCCAGGCGCCTGCGTCTGTGGCGACACCGGGACCGAGGACTGGGACTGGGAGAGACGACGGGTGTGTTCGTTGGAGGGCACCATGTGTGAATTGTGTTCATTGGAGTCAATTCATAGGACCTACATGATTGCCAAACACAGAGGTACGCACCCTCGAAAAAGAGGGGCTATAGAGGGGCTACCGGGCTACAGGGATTGTACCTATTGGGGTTCGCATCCTTGAGAGTAGGCTATATATGATCCACATCCACTTTCCGCACCTCCCCCACTAAATACTCACTTCGTTCGAAAATATATGGTAATATATATATATATAACTTCAGCCTAGCCTATGGGATGGCTTTCGTGACCTTCTACATGCCACTTGCGTTTGAAAACAACTTTTCGCTTGGTCAGTCGATGCCGGCGGCAAAGTCTTCCAAAGAATCACCACATACTGAGGAATCGCGAAGCCAAACATGCGTCGAATAATATGACATGGTTCCTGTTCACATACAGAAACTGTATACCTTGTCTGAGGTTTGTTTCTATTCAGGATGCGGATGCATATCTGCAAAACGGGGATGACAAGGAAAGCGTATGTTAAATCCGCAATCTTCTTGAAACCACTGTCCACATCTTCCTTCAACAGTGTCCACAGACCCTTGCATAAGTGTCTCTGTGTCAAAACATAAGGAGACCTCCACCTTCCCTTCTGCCAGGGTACTTGTGAGGTCAAACAGCCAGAAATGCCGCCAATCCCGTGCGCCTCTGCCGATCGGCATGCTCCCGCTCGATGCCAGCCTTGCTGCTCTCCACAGCGGCCTGCATGGCGGCAGGGCCCCCAAGAAATCGAAACAGTCTGGTTCCCATCAAGACTCAGAGGCCATTGGCAACCAGCTCCAGTTGCAGAACCAGCCATAGCTCGGTCTCATGATGTCTGGCAAGAATCAATCCCACGTGGTGCATCTCCTAAATCGCCAATGCCATTAGACACCCTTTTGAGGGTAGATGCATGAATTATCATGAATTATTTGCATTCTTTCCAGGCCACCTCCAAGCAATGTGATCAGGAAGGTCCCAAACGCCCCAAACCCATTGATGAACCATCAAATAGTCGGCCAGCAAATCGAGAACGAGTGAGATGGATGTGCATAACAAATCCCAACACAATCGCAGGTCCTCATGTTCTAAAAGTCATATCTCTCCACCTCTTTTCCCTCACTAAGCCCTTGTGTTACGAACCATCCTTTGCAGCTCGTCCTACCAATCACAACCTGGAATTGACAAATCGCTTCAACTCAAGACAATCCACTCACCAAACAGAATAGCTGTCAACAGAATGCCTGCCAAGCCCTTGTCTTGTGCCTCGAAAAACAACCCCTCTGGAGAACAGCAGCTGCGGAGAACAGCAGACGCGGCTCGCACGCGGACGTCGCACGGCGTCTGCTGACCTTGAAGTTGGCCGCCTTCTCGGAAATCGCTGAGGGCGACTCCCGCCCCGCGACGCCCTTCTTCGCAGCCGCCTCCCATGGGTGCACCCAAGGGCGGGCGCGCGGCGAGGCCGCGAGGAAAGCGGGGAAGAGCTGGCAGAAGATGGAGGGATGCTCTCTGTGAATTTGAAAGGGTGATGTTTGCTATGGAGACTGAGAGTGGCCTGGCCCTGGTCATTTCATTGTGATCCATACAGAGCATGGAGCGCTCCAAAGCGCTCGATTTAGACGTTGAAGGAGTGATGGAGCGCAATGCGTTCTTGCCTCCCGACCGCAGTCGGAGCGGGGGTTCGGTCTTGAACGAAAACACCAAGGAAGCATGCGTTGGAAACGGTCGCCGTTTGGGGCCGAAGGGAGACCGTTGGAAGTGTAGCTTGTCTTGGAAATGGACTGAACATGCTTTGGCTTGTCTTGGCATGAGCCATTTTCACGCCCAAGGGCGCCCCTTGAGGTCTGTAGCCTCAAGCTGGTGTCTTGGATCGTGAACGCCCAGTCTTTTTGACCCGCCCGTTCGTTCGCAGGAGACCCCGCCTGCCCTGCTGGGCCTTGGTTGAACCCGCGAAGACCCATCTAAAGAGCTGGCACAAATACACAACTTGACAAGAATGAAAAGGCACCACACTGGAATGTTCTGTGGAAAACGTGTTGGCCCTCAGGTTCAATGTGCGGCTAGAGTCTAGTGTCTGGAGCTTCCGAAACTCATGGCGGCTCAAGCCTATTGACTCTTGAGGCCAGTGTCAGAGGATGAGAAAGATTGATGTGGGGAAACACCGAATTTCTGTGATACAAGCTGCAGCTATAAAGCCTGTTCAAAGCACAACATATATCAACATATTCCACGAATTGAAATAAAGATACACAAAACATGAGAATCATCATTTATGAGGTGGAGAAGCGATGCAGTCTATGTGGTCCGTGGCGCCTTTATGAACCCAATGAGATTGATCCATGTTCCCTTCTTCCTAAGGAAAACATCTGGCAACTCCTTTTGAATACCCAATTGTACCAGAGCCCCAATTGTACCTTTGAATACCCAATCTTAGGCTAAGGAAGGTGCCTATTCATATAGCTCCTCAGAGGCCAGGGGTGTAGAGTTTCCACCCTGGCCCTTGGGGTTCGGGTATACACTGCTTGGTCCGGTGAATGGTCAAGCCTGGTACCAGGCAGTGAGCGGAAACCGGCTTGGCTGCCCGGGCTACAAATGCCTGGTGCGGTGTGGAGTTGGCTTGAAGATGTAGAGCTGCTCTGAGTTGCTCTGGTTTTTCTCGAAAATTTGGAAAGACCCGACCCCTTAACCACTGTGATCTTCAAATGGGTATGCCTCCCAAGTGGGGTATACGGTGTTGTACATATATGTGGTATATATACCGTATACCCCTCAATACCCCTCATGCAAGTGCTTAGCCACTGAAACAACAAAACATTGGCCCCAAACGAAGTTTCAGCCTGTATACCGGCAGTCCGGCTCCCTTGAAGAATGATCCAGGCGGTCCTCATCAACGGCTTGATTTATATTTCACCACTCATAACCTGTCATGACAGAAAGTTCAGGTGGCACTGGCATGCAGGATTCACCACATCTTCACCACATCTACAGATGTGTGCTCTGAAATCACGCACGTATCAAAGCACAGGAGTCTGATGTCCTTCCCCCAGAATCCTTCGCCTGGAACCTGCCCCGTTCGCGCGACGTCGCGTCGCGTGAACGTCGCGTTCGCTGCGTGAACTCGCGCCTGGCCTCTGCTAATGGCGGCCAAAGGAGGAAGCATCGCGAAGGAAGGGATGCAAGCTGGATTGACTGAACAGCCGAACTACCTGGTACAACAACCTTGAACCTGACAATGGAAAGCTTGCCATGACTCGAAGCACTATACAGCTGATATTGATGCTTGCCCAGCAAGCCAAATTCACTAGAAGTCACTATACAGCTTAATGTTTCATGGCGCTCGTCTTTGCGTCTGCGTGTTCTCTGTTTCATTCGCCCAATGATCCGCTCCTGTGGGGGTGCCGACAAGGGGGGTAGGGCTATAGGCTATAGCAGTGTAGTGCGTGGCAGCTTTAAGAGGCTTCAAGGAGGTTTCACCATGAAAACAACACTTACAGTGTGAATCAGTGTGATATGATGGTGGGTTCAGGTGTTGAGATTTGATCCACAGTGGGTTTACAAGAGAGTCTTCAAGCATTGTAGCTGGCAGCCAGGTGAAAGCCTTGACCCTCCAACTATCGGGTGCATCAAAGGAAAACCATGTAACACCGTTTATTGTGCAAACTCATGGGCCTCTAGCTCTAGCTTCATCCTGGGAACTGCTAGGCCTGTAGGCTATAGCCATAGCCATCCATAGACGATGATCTTCAAAATCATGGGTTGTCTGAAGTCATTGGAGAGCCAATAATGGTCAATTAGTCAATCAAGATGAGGCAATCGCGGCACTTTTTCTCAATGAAGAAACTTCAAGAGAAACTGAAGCTTGGAGTATCTTGGAGTTCAGCCGTAGCTGTTCTCCGAAACTGAGCACTTTGGGTTCTCATTCACCTCTGGGGTTCTCCATTCACTTGCCATGTCCCTCAATGCAGCCCGCAGCATGGCTCAAGAGTCAAGACTTGATGGCATGTCGAATTTGTATCCAAAGTCTTGTGCTCAAAGTGCTGCAAAAGCGTTGCCTGTGCTGCTAGACTGCTGGGGTCCTCAAACAGTCCTCTTCCACGACTACCTAAGGCTTTAAGGGGTGGTTGATGCAGTTAATGGACACCAGACATTACAAACTGGGGGTCCTGGTTAGCCCCCCCCCCATCATTGACCTGCCCAGGGCGCCAGGGCCGGAGGGATCATCGGCCTGGCGGTGGTCGCCGCTAAGGAGGCGCGCGCCAGGCCCGCGGCCTAAGCGAGACTGCGAGACGGGTTCAGCGAGACGAGCAGTGGGGAGGAGCGGGGGGGAGCGAGGTTCAGGTCTGAAGCTTGGAAGATGTTCACTCCTGAAAGAACCATTTAAATTGGGTAGTGTACTTTGGGTCTATCCTATTACATCCTATTACATAGCAGTGGACGATGATGGTTGGTAAAGGCCTTGTTCAAAAATAGTGATAACTGTTTACTGACTGTTCCAGGTAATAGGACAAACCAAATAGGGTATCATACTGACCTGAAAAGCAAGGCCCTGCATTTGACGAAGGTTCCTGTACGTGACACCATCATGCATTCTAGCACTGATCCACGGCCAAGGTTGCTCCCGTGATCACTTCTACACTAGGCGGCGAGGGTCTGAAGAAGGAAACACCCTAAATTGACTGCCCCATCATCCCATCCAACAAACAATCTTCGGTGCTACCTTAAAAACTTCAAGGAGTTCACGGGACGAACCAGGGGGGCCGACTTCCACTTCTTGATTGCACCCTGAAAAAACCTGCAATTACATTATGACTGGTCTCACAAAGAAGGACTCCAACCACCACATTGCTCTCTGTTCTTTGTTCGGGAAGTGTTCCATCTCACTCCACCGCGATCTTCAAGAGCTAGACCCAGCTCCCCAGCTGATCGCAAACATCTCCAAACATGATCGTGATTTTCGCCCACATACGTACCTCCCACCTACCTCCCTTGTTCGTGCTCGGGCGTCCGGCTCGCGTGTTCGTGCTCAGCGACCGGCCTTCGAGACCCGGACCCGTTGCCGTTCGTTGCGCGTCGCGTCGAGTCCGAGTCGAGGCGACATTCGACCGGACGAAGGGAGGACGACGAGCCCGACGAGCAGTTGTGACAGTATGGAGATATCTGTTGAAATGCATGGTGAATTCCATGTTTGGCCGAAGTTGGGAGGAGTTGACTTGAAGGAGTTATATAAGTTTCGGTGTATGCCGGTTTTCCAAATCTCGTTTTACCCACTGTCTTGGCCGTCCCCACAGTCCTTCGTTCATTCGTTCTCTGGCATTCCTTTTCGGTCGACCAGTCAACCAGTTCGGAAGAGATTTCTCTCATGTGATGCGCTAAAGATACTAAAGTCAGCAGCAGCAACAACAACAACCACAACCACAACCACCACCACAACCACAACCAAGCTGTCAAAACCACATAGCATTGAGCATGCAGTTTCCTCATCATACCACGCATCCTCTGTCCACTGCTCTTCATCCTCCCAGCTGTCGTCCCACCACTTCGCCAACGTGGTCTCTTCCGACACTTCTTACCCCCATCTCAGCATGCCTTTCTATTCTTGAGCTCCCGTGTCTCACAAAGCGAGTGTATGCAGGGATGTCTCAGATGTCTCACAAGCAAGTGAACCTAACCTACCATGAAGCTCCTATTCTGCTATTCCTTCAAGCCTGCTCCTTACTTGTTTCTTCCTTCAACAAAGCATCCAGGTGGCTGAACCCAACACTTCCAACTTCCTCATTCTTCGCTGCACAAACTACCTAACTCCATCAAAAAGCCTTCTTTCAGACACAGCCTGTATGAGCCTGTCATCCTATCTCCCAAATCGCCTCACCGAGCCCGAAAGCCACAGAGACAACGAGCGGAAGGCCGTCCCACCGCCGCCGTCCCCCCCAACCGGTCAACCGGACGAACGACGCTGTACCTCGCTCGATGTAGGCCAAGATGATCCGTCGCAGGCGCTCCGCTAACAGCGCCTGCAGCTGTGTCCAGCTGCGGTGTGGCTCAGCCATTTTCTTGTTGGGTCCGCTGGTCCGGAGAAACAGATTCGCGGTTCGGTCCAAATTTTTCAGGGAAGAAACGGGAGGACGACCGATGTCGATGTCGACATCCGATGTTTGGTGTCCGATAGACAACGTGAGGCTCGAAGGGCTCGTCCGATCGCAACTACTGAGGCTCGAAGGGTCTGCCATTGCGAAGGGTCTGCCGAGCATCAGCTCCTCGGCGTGGCACACGGCATAAAAACCTCCAAAGACGAGACAAATGATGTCCCAGGCCTGAAGCTTCCCGGACTGATCCGAAGACTCACCCACCAGCTTGGGGAACCCCAAGACACTCCGGTGAGAGCAACCTACCCGAGGCCGAGGTACATCAATCATACAAACATCCACTTCCCCATGCACGGGATATATCCCACACAAATCGCCACTGCGTGTGCATGTCTCATGTGATCTCGCCGGAAAAAAAATAAAACGTTCACATGCTGACCGCATCGGCGCTTCCATCCTCACCCGGTGATCCGGCTCAAGTCCCGTCCTTGTCCTCGGGATGTCGCAAGGGAGGCAACGCCGGAAACGTGCGGTCGAGGCCCATGAAATCCTGCTCTGCGCGGACTCGCGCGGACGCTCCGCCGCGAGGAACTGTGGACTGTTTTCCCGTTGGTGACGCGTTCGGGTCGGTTCGGGCAAAAGGTTGATCGGCCGTGTGGGGAAGACGTGACCACGGAGCTTTGTTGATGGAAAACAACTAGACATAACACTGACTAGACTAGACTATAATAGTATGTGTTCCATGGGAATTTACAATATAGAGAAGAGTCTTTTGATTGGTGGTTATCCACTGAACAACATCATTATATAGCAAACATGCACTGTTCATGGCTGCTGAAATGAGAAGTTCTGCTCTTGCAATCCACTTGGCCCATCCAAGAAACTAAATACCATCAACAGCATCATCTTCTTCTGAAGAGTCTCTTCTTCGTGCGGTCATCATCCCTGTCCAGCTTGTTGGGATGCACTAGAGAGATCTAGAGAGTCAATCTGTTTCTAAGGGAGTAGTGAAATCCTCTTCTTCACTACTCAAAAAGCTGCCCTGGCGCCAATGGCAAATCTCAAAACATCTCTCCTTTGATCTAGAAACGGAAAAAAAACAAGATCCATGTCCGGTGTTCGATCATGCCTAGGTGATTGAACACGCCAATCGACCACAAGGACCAACACAAACACCTCTGGACCGGCCTTCTCCAGCTGGTGCCGGTCCTGCCCGGAGAGCGGCGGCACGTCGACGACCGACGAGTCGACGTCGACGCGTCGACGGCGATCTCCGCCTTCTGGGCCGCCTCGTCGGAACGCTCCGAGGAGGCTTTCACCAAGGTCAGGTAGTAGTTCTGGACAGGTGGAAGATGGCGACCGAAACCGCTTCAGTGAGGATCGGCAGATGCCAAGCGAAAAGCAAGGCATGTGTGAAATCGTGAAATCGGGTTGCTTGGGTCCACTACCTATGGCTGGTACCTGAGGCCAGTCGGAATGGTAGATCTCCGTTGTAGATCCACAAGATTCACAAGGCAGGTGTGTCTGGTTGTGCCTGTCTCTCCCCAATTGACCCCTTTGATTGGATGGGTGGGTTGTCCACCGATGGGTGATGGGTGAACCATTCGCCAGAAAGATCGCCGACAGGGAGGTGTTTCGGCGTGTTTGCCGGAAATAATTAGGGGTCCACATGGTTTCACCAAAGCTTGCCTGATGGAGGTCCCAAGGTGTTCGGTAGATCAGGTGGGCCAAGTCATGTCTGACTCCTCTGTCGATCTCTCTGTCGACCCTTCAGGATGGGAGATGGGGAGAGCAGAGGACAGGGGGATGCCGGGTGTCCTCGTTGCAATCCAAATCAACCAGAGAGGGCCCAAACCCGATTTGGTCCAATCCTCATGTCACATTCCCAACTCCATGTATGATATGTATGGCATATTTACCTACATTGACCCCTAAAACCACCCCTAAAACCATACTTATCATTACTTATCAATCCCCGACACTCCAATGTATGTAAATATGCCGGTCCCATTAGTCGTGTCTGGGATTGATCAGTTCGGTCGTCACTCCTTCACGACCTCCTCGGTATGGTTCGGCCCTTTTTTCCTGTCCCTGTCTTCCTGAACCGACCTCTGGACGATGCGAACGACATAACGCTGATTACTTGTGCCCAGCGTGAAACAGATGTAGAACAAAGAGATTGGTGAAGGAGAACTCATCATCTCGCTTGTATCCCACCCAAAATACCTGAAATCTCCGCCTTTGGTCTCAATATGTCTCAATGAAGCCCATTGATGTGCTGGTTTCATTATAATGGCACTGGACGTTTTGTTTCAGGAGCACAGCGACAACTTCAAGGGTCTGAGAATTATATACACATCATACATACATCTCAAAATGTGCGTCTGCCATGGCTAGTATTACAAGAGCACTTGTGCTTCTGGCATCTATGGCCACCTGTTCTCTCAAGCTGCTTGGCACGTTTACTTATCGTGCTGGCCACCTGTGGGTTTCAACTCGTCCAAACTGCTGGTGACCATGACTTGTGGTAAGGGGTTTGCTACCTCGAAAACGATCGTATGGACTCGCCTGAGACTCTTGAGACACAGTAGATAGAAACGGTGTCCGGTACGTTTAAGAGAGGATTTACACCTGTTCACCAATGAGCAAAAAAGAAAATAGGCGTAAAAGGGCTACGTACGACTTTTTTCCATGCAGCAAGCATGGTTCTGATGGAACAAAACACTGTCGAAGCATGTTCCACTGTTCTGCATGTTTGTGGAGCACACCGACTCCTGCAAATGGAATACAAAAAGGCTCTAGGTGGCCTAGTCCAATACCCTTGCAATATACGAGTGACTGGCGTTAACTAATTAGGATGGACAAAATCTCTGGCGACTGAGGGGAACTGGACCTGGGATGGTCAGGGGGCAGTTGGTCCCCTTCCCTCTTTCCATTCTGAACAGACCAACATCCCCGACTCCTCGGCCTCCTGTCGCAGCTGGCCATGCAGCGCCTCCTGGGCTTTCTCTTGGGCGGCCGTGCGGTACCTGGCCCGGTTCACAGAGATTCGACCTAAACCCGCCGGAGTCCCTGATTATAACCAGTGCTTGTGGCATCCCACTCCCGAACCCAGTAGGAGCAATTGTGTGTGGTGAATAGAAGATAATAAAAGGTCCCAGGTTCATTGAAGTCCAAGGTGCTAAGGTACATGTATGGAGGCCAGTAGCTGGGACCCATCGTTCGTCTAATTGGTCTTTACAAAAAGGCTGAGCCACTCAAAAATGACCAGCTGGTGCTCCACAATAATCCACATGTACTTTGTCGATATAATTTATGCAGGCGTTTTTCTCTCCAGTCAGCACTCCTGGCCCCCAGGCCCCCCACTCACTTCTTCTTTTTCACAGCCGCCAGGCATTCCTCGTCCCACCGGGCGCCCTGCTGGCCGTCGCAGCTCCAAAGCGGCTGCAGGTGCTGGGCCCGAAGAGCCGCAGGCGGCGCGACGCTCCCCTCGCGCCCGCGGAGCCCGGGAGCTCCACCTGCCAATGGAGTCCACTTGGGCAACGGAAGCTGAGTATCAAAAGGAGTTTGGAGAAGCCACCAAATCATTGGTATTTTTTGGGCCAGGGCGATAAGTTCCCGTTTTTGGCGGCGTTTTGGTTCCTGACTAGCTCCTGATGGCTACCTCCAGCTTGACAGGTCTGGAATTAGAATAGGGTGACAGGGTGACGGGTCTGTTTTCCCTTCTACGAGTACTAGGGCCTTGGGGGGGTCTAGCCAAATTGAGATGTGCACATACGTAGCAAATGCGGAGTGAAGACGCAGAGGAAAAAATAGGGGGAACAAAACAGAGATCTCAAAACTGTCGATGTCCAGGATGATCAGACCTTCTTTGAGGGATATCTCATTCGCAACTGCTGCACCTTCGAGTTGAAGCCTCCCTTATTGAGTTGAAAAAAAGGCCCTTCACTTCAACTCAGGGTGCCTCAAAGACACAGTTGTCCTTGGGAATCATCTTCACCTCGCTCTTGAGGGTGATGATGCGAAAAGTCCTGCAGACTTTGAGGCAGGGCCTCAAAGTTGACCACCAGTTTGCCGAAAAGACAACGGTGCGGGAGACCCTCGAATGGGAGACCTATTCTATTCATATTTAAGTTTAGAGAAACAACAAAAACAAAAACAAAACAGTGCTCACACAAAAAAAATAACTGCAAGCAGGTTCTTAACAGTTTCTTCCAAAATGAACACAATATACACTTCAGGGTGAGACATTGACACCGTTGACACCACATCTTGAGCAAAATATATGTCTCTCAAGATGACTATATTGAGGTTCTGCAACATAACAAGCGAGGTATCCCACTATATCGAGAGTTGGAAAAGGTCCTTCCTCCAAAAAGGGGAATGGTTGTGGAGGTTCTTTCCGACCCTGTCCTTATGGTAACCAATTGTCCTCTTCCGTACTTGGCATGGCAAAGGTGCCAATCAATTGGGAAACCGGAAACCATCACTGTGAATCCTCCCGAGACATAAGCATCACATATCCGACAAATTGTTAGCCTTCCAGCAGAGTCGATAGCGGGCCTAGGTCTAGTCAATCCCTACAGCGTCTTGTATGGGCCAAAGAAATGCAGGGAGACCCCACATTTTGTCCTCTGAGTCTCTTCAATGACAGTCCCACTCAATCCTTGGGACGATGGAGAAATCATGCAGAATTCAGAGCAACTAACCAGCTCAGCTCATAGCCTTTCAGACTCCCTCTGAAAGGCTAACGTCCAAACGAACAGATTGATATAGAATAGAATCGAATCCCCGTGAAGGCCACATTCTTCTACAAAAGAGATTGTCAATTAACATCTGCCAATAGGATGACAGGTTGAAACCCAACCCCTACTGCTGGTCAATTCATGTATTCTTGACAAACGGCATGGCTTTCGGATTAGGGGACTTTGAGTTGGGGACGGTGTGCAGCAAGCAACGCTGCAGGTAGGACGAGCACCCAACAGCTCGAAGCTTCTGCGAGTTCGCATAATTGCACCCAACAGCTGGGATGCGCTGGCAACATGGCATTTACTGTATCCTGTATCCTGCATGTAAAAATCAACGTCAACAGGAAAAAAAACATGAAAAACGCCTGGGCCTCAGAGTCAGAGGCATGGTCCGGGTGAAATCTCTCACCATGCACCTCATCCCCCACCTCACGGTCGTCTGTTTCACAACACGTTCGGGCTTTATCGAGGTGCGGAGGAGGTTGGGCGTCTTCGAAGCAACCACCTCCAGGTGGCTGCCATGGAGGTCCAAAGAACTCAGGATGGAGAGATCCGACTCCAGGACCTGCGAAGCATCGAGACGTTCGAGACGGCGCGCCGTTCTCGGCGTTTTGGCCGACGCGACGAGCCAGAATCGCGTTGCGAGACACCGAGGGCCGAAGGGGCTCGATGCTTAGAGGCTGAGATTCAAGGAGAAAAGCTTTCGGTGTGTCCATGATGTTTCTATGTGCTGGGATGAGTGTAACTTGAGTCCCTCAGAGAGTGGACCTGAGGTTTTGGACAGTTCCATGTCGGAGTGCTCTTTGGATCTGCGCCTGGGGATACTCTAGGCCGTGGGCCTCACTAAACCTGCAAAAAGCACCCCCTACCACCACGGAAATACAACATTTGTCACCTCACACAGCATTTTCCCAACCACAACAGGCTTAGTTTGCCTGGAAAGAAAGGTGAACCGACCTGTTTCCGCCTGTTCTTGTTTACTTCAGAAACCACCTTTCCCACGAAACAGGCGGAAACACCGGTCCGGACCCGGTCGGACGGGCGGCGGCCTCGGAGAAGTCGAGCTGCAGATCTTCGATATACCTGGTCCATTGTTGCGGATGGAAGGGGACAAAGTCATTTGGACAACACAGAAGTACTTGTCGAATTCTATCTTGTTCTGAAAAAACATCCGAATAATGTAATCTTATCACAAAATATCACAAAAACAAGCATGAAGTTTTGGCAAAACACCTATTTATGATAAATAGAGGAGGTCAGTCTGCCAATCTAGGCCTTTCTGTCTACATCCGAAAGGCCTTGTTGGGAGACGTTTATGGCTTTGCTATCGGTGACTTGAACTCACATCCGTGACTTGACCCCAAGACCGCCCTGCGGCTCATGTTCAATCAAACCAGGCCAGTACAACGGGCGTCAAGCCAGGCCATGCTGCTCCATCCTGTCCATTAAGGATCTTCCAACGTCAACTTTGAAATTAAAACTTCTGCAACTAACTAATCGTGTAAAAGAAACATGCTGCTGTTCCCTTCTTTGAGAGACTCCCGGCTTCCTCGAATCGTTGCGTACCTTTTTCTCTTCTCACTTCTGCCGGTTAGACCAACCGGCAGATTCCTGCCGAGCGGCTCCTTCCAGAGCTGCCTCAAGGCTTCAAAGTCTTCGTACTTGAAACGCCAGAGCTCCTTCCCCTTCCGGGCCTGCGAGCACGTGGAAGGCACGCGAGGGTTACAAGAACAGGCACACGTCACACGGAACAAGGAGCAATCCATGAATCCAACTTGATCCAACTTGATCCAACTTGTAAATCTGCAAATTCAACTGGG